ATGTAAATTATATTTATATTGGATCGGAAACAATCGAGCCGCTTTATCCCGAACGCGGAAGCTGAGGTGCAAAGAGCCCATAAGAACCGGAAGTGATCTGGCTTGACCGCTGTTGCTATAGAAACATGAATAAACGTAGCCTGTTTTTATGGTAAATGGACTTACATAGCGCTTTTCCAATCATTTTGGCCACTCAAAGCCCTTTACACTAGAGTCACATCCAATCACAAATTTATACACTGATCGGTAGGCAGTTTGGGGTTCTGCTTCATGTCAAGGGGCATGTTGACATGAGGCAGGAGGAAGCTGGAATTGAACCTACAACCTTCCCATCACAAGACGCCTACTCTACCCACAGAGTCACCCTGGTGCTCCTGATGGCCAGTCCACCCATGAATCTGAGGAATCTGAAGGTCAAAGGGCTGTCAGGTGATCAGAGGAGCAGCTCATTTGGAGTCATTAGTGTTAACAGAGCAGCTGCAGCAATCTGTGAGGTTCTCTGAGATCATGATGAGTCTGGGCAAATCAAATCCTCACAACATTCTGAATTTTCCACAGATTTAGTAGCTTTTGGTTTGTTTCAAAGATCAAACTAACATATCCAGATCAGATCAGGGCTGTGGTTTACTGAACCATGTGTTTTTTTGATCCCAATACGTTTCACCATGACTGGAAACATGAAGACCTTAAAACTAAACCCACCACAGTGGATTAGACTAGGTGTCATCATGAGACACTGAACAAATGTTTCTGCATTTTATCAATCAATCAATCAATCAATCAATCAATCAATCAATCAATCAATCAATCAATCAATCAATCAATCAATCAATCAACCAATCACATCTTTATTCCAGACACAAAAAAGGTCCATAGTAAAAAGGTAAAAACAAGCAAAATAAGAGAAAAATAAAAATGACAAAACTCACAATTTATTGTCATAATGAAGAGAAAAAGTTCCACATTTCTCTGTAATCAAGTTGTTTTATTGAAGAAAACCAAAGAGAGATGCAGACATGAATTTTTCTCATTTAAATCTAAGGAATTTAGAATAAAACAGCATAATTTCTAAGTTGATTTTCTGTGTTTTCTTTGGATCACAATAAGGAAAACAGAAGCAAGTCCAGTTCACTTCAATTCCAAATGATTTAAACAACATTTGTTTTGTAGAACAACTGAAAATAAACCAGAATATTAAAAAAATCTGTACAAATATTAAAGCTATCAGAGCCCAGACAAGTTAGACGTTCATGTGGAGAAATATTTCTGTATCATATAATAATGAAAGAAAACATCAGCAGTGATATCCTGGAACACAGAGAACTTCATTTAAACCAGAGAAGAACCGAACAGCAGAGACATCAGAACCATGAACCCGGATCCACCAGAGAGAGGAGAGGGACTCTAGTTGGGTTTACTGAACTCTGCAGAGCTTCCTAAACCAACCCCAACCCCAGCGTGAAGCGGCTGACTGAATGTGGTCTGGACTCTGTGGATCAGCGTCATGGTTTCTGAGACGCAGTAGAAGGACAGAAGACCTGCTCTGAGGTCCAGATACACCCCCAGTCTGGAGGAAACTGGACCTGAGATGGAGGTCCAGATGCTTTTGTGAACAAATTTAAAACCTTTTTGTTGACAATCTAAAGCCCAAGATTTGTCATTGCGTCCAAATCTACATTCAAGCTCACCTCCTGCTCTGCTGATGTTCTTGTAGGCGACAGCAACACAAACCGACCCGGTCCACTTCACCTCCCAGTAACAACGTCCAGTCAGACTCTCTCTGCTCAGAACCTGAGAATAATTAGTGAATCTGTCTGGGTGACTAGAATAAAGCTGATGTTGATTCATCCTCGTCACCTTCCTGTTCCCCTCTGACAGGCCCAGCT